TGATATATTTTAATTTGAAGGAATAAAATTGTTAATAATATATTTTTTACCAACATAATTAATAATACATAAGATAATATAATTAATGTGTATATATATTTATAAAATATAAGATTAAATATGTTTATCAAAAAATATGTTTATAAAAAAAATAACAAGATACATATCATATAGGCTCTCACACTCTCCCTTTTTCCTCCAAAAGCAAAAAAATTTTGCTTTTTCCAAAACTATGGTTTTGACCCAAAACCATGGTTTTAGTTTTTAGAGGGGGTGTTTGGATGATTGACACCCCAAACCATGGTTTTAGTTTTTAGAGGGGATGTTTGGGTGATTGACACCCCAAACCATGGTTTGGGGTGTCACCCAAACACACCCTTAAATATGGTCCCACAAAGTTGGAAATGATCAAAGTTTGAGTCAAGTCAATTTGTCTTTCTCTGATCCCAACTAAAACGCGAGAAAAACAATATAGCGAAAATTCCATGCGGGTCATTTCATTTCAACTGAATAGACGGGAAGCTGCCAATCTTTTGTGAGAAGCCGTTCACTGATTTACTCTTTCTTTGTAAATCGTTATTTGAAAAAACTTAACCTTCATTGATTTTTTTTAAAATTTAATAAATTTTTAATTGTATTCTTAGTTAATGTATATTATATCTCACATAAACAAAGCCAACATACATCAATACAAAAAGTTTCTTTCAGTTATCTATAAATAAGACCAAAAAATATTTTTTTTCTCTTGTCCTATAAATAAGACTAGAAAAGTATTGCTCCAATTCTATTTTATAGGGCATTTTCAATATATTCATATATATCAAAAAAAATTTTAAACTGTATTAACTCTCCTTTAAAATATAGCAACTTTTCAACTTTACCCGTATGTAATATATACACATTTTTAAAAAATAACTATCTTAAAAGAAAGACAAAATAATACATTTATGCTTAAAAATTAAACAAGGTCATATATAAATAGGACTAATAAACCCTAATAAAAAAAAAGGACTAAGAAAAACTTTTTCTTTATGCCTTATAAATAGGACTAGATGATTATATTATACGAAGTCTTTTCAAAGATATTTTTTAATCCGTTTCTTAATATTCCCTCTGATTCTTATATATTATAAGTTTCAAATAACTAATTCGTGGATAACAAAAAATTAATTAAAAGTAATAAATAAGTTAGAAATATATCTTTGTTTCTAATATATCTTTGTAATAAATGAGAAAAAGAATGAAAGAAAATATGTGGAGAAATGTGATAAGAGAGAGTATGACAAATGTGAAAAAATAAATAATTAAGGGTAAATTTGGAAAAAGAATATTAAATGTTAAGATAAACCTAAATTAAAGCTTATAAAATGGACCATAATTCTTTTTTATTTTGAAACTTATAAATAGGTCTGGAAGGAGTATATTTTAATAGTTTCAATAAGCATTAAATTTTTTTTTTCATATATACGCATACCACTTTGTTTCTGTTTATAATTCACTTGTAGAGAAGAAGTTTGTTCTAAATATAAGTCACTTGTAGGATAATCAATGAGTTTTTTTCAATTTTATCTTATTGACTTAAATTTGTGAGAAAAAATATATAACATATGTTTTTAATGCCCCTTCTTTAATAAACGCAAATGTAAAAAAAATTATCAATTTAATACATTTCTTAATTTAGGGGCTTGGGGTGTGAATAAGTGACTTATAAATAACAGTAGAATGATATTCAATAAAGATAGTGAGAAAGAGTGAAAATAAAGATAATGTTAAAGTTTAGTGTGGTTGATAAGGGCAATACTAGGAATTACTTAAATTTTATGACAAATTCAATGATTTTATAAAACATTATTTAAGTTGTTTTTTTTACAAATTTAGTTAAATCATTAAGTGTGTTTTAAATTGATAAAATTTAGCTATTTTATCCTCATTAAAGAATGTCATTGGAAACTTTTCTTTCATCTCTAGATCTCCTACATTTAAATCTCTTTCTTCTTTGTAACAAAAGGTAAAAGTAAAAAGCTATCATTAATTATTATGTCAACCTCTCATATTTTGGATCAAAATTTTCTTCTAAAAATTTTGTTATATATGAATAAGAGAGAGTATTTTTATAAGTTGGTGTAAATCAGTTACAAAGGCACATTATAGGCAGGAGGTTTTTCCATTAATGCTCCCAGATTTTTCGAATTAAAGAGATAGGTAACTTGAGATTATAAGTGGGAGATTCTCACTTACAAAGCACTAATGCCACTACACTACAATACCTTGAGCTTCCTGATCACTTAACCTAAAGCCATCCACAGCCGACGAGTTCTTCAGTGTCTTTGATCAAGTCAAACCATGGATTTATGAGCTAAATAATGAAGTGGAAAATGCACTTTTTTATTTAAAAAAAAGTACTTTACAACATAAGAACGCTTAAACATGAGATATGGAGTTTGAATGGGTATAAAATGAATATATATATATATATATAATGAAAAACTTCCTCCTTTTTGGACAATTCTTAATACTGTTGAATATCCCAATAGATGGACAATTTTTATGCAACAAATCCCAATAAACTTACTTCTTTGACTCCTCCTCCAAAAGGGCGAAGAAGAGAATTTCATTAGAAGAATTATAATGAGGTCCTAAGAAAAGAAGATAACTACTAAAAAATCTTAATGATAAGTTAAAATTTGTCATTTCTTATTCGGAAACTAGTAGTAATTGGGATTTTTAATAATTATGTTTCTTTCTAGAGACTTGAAGGCAATTCTCCCAATGTCATTTGTTCCTCCATAAAGATTTCATTTTTCTATTTCACATTTTGATTCTTCAAGCATATATATAATTCGATCTGATAGTTTATACATATTCCATAACTTTTACAATATTTATTCCACTGACTATGTATGTGATCTTAAATGAATAAATAGCTATACTACCTCTTGTTATTAACATAAGAACTAATTGAGGATTGTATTTAGTTCTAAACATAAGACCACAATTCACTTTATATCTCAATTTTATAATTTGTTTGTTAAAATATCCTTCTTGATTTTACACACGCGTTTCCACCAAGGGGCCCTTCCAATATGCAGATGATTAAAAAGAGAAGTTTAGAAAAGTCAACTCACATTTGTTATAAATAAACCAACTTAAATATTTTTTTTTAATATTCTTAGATTAGTTATCAACTCTTATGTTAAGGATAAAAGGCAGCGTAATTAAAAGGTGCAACATCTACAATGAAGTCATACAACAATTATGAAACAGGCTTGCAGAAGCACATTTTCCTACTAGTACATTTCAGTAATGAGTTTATGATTTTCGTTGTATTGTATGGAGCTAGTTGATTTAAACAACTATTCACATCCTATGTCCAAAAAGGCAAAAGAAAATGAAATAGAAATAACCGAAATAAAAATATTAGCTTTCAAATGTTGAACTGTTCTGAATGCACAAGATCCGAACTCATTCCCCGAAACATATTCAGTCCGTTCTTTATTTTACAAAAGATAATTAATCAAATTACATTGTTTTAAATGTTAGCTAAAATTAATTGAAAATAATGAATGAGTGAAAAATGTAACAGAATCCTCATTTATGTGGTAGAGAAAGAATTTGTGGGAATTAAATACAATTACATGAGTAATATAATTAATTAAATGGGATAAAATAGGAAATCAATAAACAAAATTTAAGACAATTTCTAAATGTCTCTTATAAAAAGAAATACCACTTTGGTCTTTTTTAATCGTTACTTTTAAGAGTTTTTTGCATACTAAGGAGAGTATTACATAGATAAAATCTTCCTGTTTTGCCCTTAGTAGAGGAGCAAATGAAACACTATCTCAATTGATTAATTTTTTTTATTGTAATTGATAGGGGCAGAATTGAAAATGAAGCATTAAAAAAGATATAAGTAACAAATAAAAAGGACCAAAATTCTTCTCTATAAGTGATGATTAAAAAGGATCAGAGTGGTAAGCCATACTTCACAATTGTCTCCTATGGAAAAGAATGAAGCGAATATTTAGGGATCAATGAATACGTTAATTAGTGGATTTGTGAATGATCCAACTGAATTTGAAGTAATGGGAAACTAAAAATATTAAGAGAGGAAAACTAGATGTTAATCAAGAAGGACCATCTCCACTTTCCAAAGAGGCCTAACGGTTTTTTGGTTTACAACCAAGTCAACTAGGGGTTTTACGCGGCCCATATTATTTATGGTTGACGTACATGTGCATGACAAATTAACATAATTAACCAAAATGAATCGACTATCATACTTTTTTAAAATTAAGGATGTATCATTAATTATAAATTAATAATGGTTTAAGGTATTCACTTAAAAAAAAAAAGGTTTAAGGTACAAATTTATTTTGAAAGTTTTCACTCTAAAATGTTGGGCCCCCGGAATTTTTTTTGGGTACAAATTTGCCATGAAACTTTAAAATTATTGCAGTTTTGCCCCTACTACTAAAAAATAATATTGAGCGTTAAAATAGTAACATTGATTATTAATATTTCTAATGGTATAGGGCCAAAAATATTACAATTTTAAACTTTCAAAACAGATTTATACCTAAAAAGACTTTTGCTTGTCCAATCCTCCTAAGGGAAAACTTCATATTGAAATTACACCTTAACCCATTAATAATTCAGAAAATACATATAAAGAAACAAGGAACGGAGACTACGACCTCTCATCAATCCACCGAACCTCTACAAGAAAATTAGGCAGCTGATTAGAGCATAAATAGTCATATCCATGGTCAATGCGTGTGGAAAAGCGAAAAATAATTCTTCTAGAAAAAATTAATTGCTTTCTAGTTATATAAACACCACCGCTCACACAAACCTCTGCCCATCATCTTGGTTTGAATCTGAGATATCTCAACCTGCACGGTTAGTTCATTTCTATTGTTTTTCTTATCCTCTACTTAATTATTAACTGTTCCTATTTCATATCTATATCTTCATAGAATTCAACTAGTCTCATGGAGATGGCAGCACAACGGATTGTATGGTTCGTCTGGATCCAACTTTTCCTTAATACTTCCGATGCAATAATGTCAGGTGGAAGGAAACTCACCACCAGCGACGATGCTACTCATCACCCTGGTAAGCTCACAAAGTTTCTGTATCATAATATTTTGGGGTTAAGGTGTCAATTCATTTCGGAAATTTTTACTTAGGAGTACTGGGTAATTAAAAGTCTTTTGGGGAGTTATTTTTAATAGCAGAGGGCAATATTGTTATTATTTTAAACTTTTTGAACAAATTTGCTCCAAAAATATTTTTTGGAGACTCAGTACTCTTGAGTGAAGATTTTTGGGGTAACTTTGCACCTTAACCCTAATATTCTATTATGTTTCCACTAAAGTTTATGACACATCCAACCTTTTTGTTTCGATGGTTAGCAACTTTTCCTTAAATAATACTCCTCTGGTCCTTACTATAAGAAGTATTTAACCAATTTGATTAGATTAAAAAAGTTATTTAAGTTAGTAATTATAAGAAATATGATATGTTTTTCTTACTACACCATAATCATCTTTCTTAATATCCTCTCTCCTTCTCTTACTTGATGTTAAGGAAATATAAATAGGGTTCATTCAGAAAAAAATTGATAAATATGAGAAATATGCTTTATATCTAGAACCAAAATAAAATCAATAATTAGTTGTAATAGATAAAGCTAATCATACATATAAACTACTGTACTTGGACAAATTTTGCTCACACAGATTTCATAAACATTGACTGCGGAGCAAGCAGTGGATACCCTGATCCACAAACAGGAATCTCTTATCAGACAAACATAGGATTCGTAGAAACAGGAACAAATTTCATGGTGGCAACTGAGAGCAGATTGGACATAGATTTTCCTCTTTTTGGAAGACAACTCCAGACGTTGAGAAGTTTCCCAGAAGGAAAAAGAAACTGCTACACCTTGAAACTAAAACAGGCCGCCAAAAACAACAATTACCTCGTCAGAGCTTTCTTCGCATATGGAAATTATGATGCCAAAAATCGAAGTCAAACATTTGACTTGTACCTCAATGTCGATTTTTGGAAAACTGTGCATTTTAACGATGAGACTAGTGGTTATGAATTTGCAGAGATTATCCATACTCCCACAACAGACACCATCCTCGTTTGCCTAGTCAACACTGGCAGAGGAATACCTTTCATTTCTTCATTGGAACTACGACCTCTTGGCAATTCTATTTATCTGACTCGGTCTCCTTCTCAATCATTTTTAGTCCTTGACACGAGAGTTGATGTCGGTTCCATTCAGTCGACTTCAAGCTTGTTTAAAAGGTGACTCTAGTCTTATTTGTTGCCAGTGTTTGCATGTGAAAGCAGTTATAAATTTATCTATCTCATACTGCAAACATACAGGTTTAAGGATGACATCTATGATCGTGTGTGGCGTGTGGACAGTATTTTCAAAGATGAAGGTTAGGAAATGTTCAATAGGTCGGAATATATCGATGTTGGAAGCACAAACGATTCTTACAAATTACCGACCGAAGTGCTTATGTCCGCGACCAAATCATTGAATCTCTCTTGTGCTCTAAGCCTTAACTATAAATTTGTCTGGAGCCCACCACCTGAAATGTCCTTCAGATATTATGTCATCTTTCACTTTGTTGAAATTGAGGAGCTTCCAGCTGGACAAAAAAGACTAATTGATATTGCTGTTAATGGTGAATATATCAAGCCAGAGCCGATAACTCTTGAATACTTAAAGCCGGTGACAGTTATTAATGTTACAGATAAAGATGGTCTTAGTTTCAACATAAGTGCAGCACCAGAATCTGATGCTCCTCCAATCCTTAATGCCATCGAAACTTATAAATTCATATCACCACTAACATCTCCAACTCTCCAAACAGATCGTATATTAATTCCTCAACCAATTACTATTTTCTATTGTTTTATGATCTCTGAGTCAGTATGTGTGCGTTGGCTTAGACTTCTGAGACCCTCTTTGATATTGGTAACTATAGCGGATGCCATTCGGGATATAAAAAACATACAAAATCTATAAAGTAGAGTGGCAAGGTGACCCACGTGTTCCGGATCTCCAACTCTCCAAACAGATCGTATATTAATTCCTCAACCAATTACTATTTTCTATTGTTTTATGATCTCTGAGTCAGTACGTGTGCGTTGGCTTAGACTTCTGAGACCCTCTTTGATATTGGTAACTATAGCGGATGCCATTCGGGATATAAAAAACATACAAAATCTATAAAGTAGAGTGGCAAGGCGACCCATGTGTTCCGGAGGAATTTGCATGGGAGCGACTTAGTTGCAGATATGGCAGCAATAACACTAACGCAAGGATTACCTCACTGTAAGTATATTTCACTTATTGAATTAAAGTAAACATTCCTTGAAGCATCTCACTGTAATTAGATTTAGTTCCCCACATTCCATAATATCGGCATGTTGGACACTTAAATGATGCGAAATTGACTTGGGTTAATTTGATGTTAATTATTCAAATGCATCAATCATTTAAACTGTATACTTATTAAAAAGTTACCATCACCTGCCTTAGTATCTATTGATCATTATAAAAAACAGAAACTTGAGTGCCAGCGATCTAAGAGGACAAATAACCGCTTCATTTTCACGACTTTCGGAGTTAGAATCCTTGTAAGTATATAATTAATAATTTCATCAGGACAAAATCTCAACTATAATTAAGAATTTTGTCATATAAAATATTGCTTGTTTTTTTTTTAGGGATTTGTCAAGCAATGGCCTGTCAGGACCGATACCCGAATTTCTTGCTAAATTGCCAAAGTTGAGAATCCTGTAAGTTTTACAAAATGCATTAATATTTTTATTTAATACCTGATATATGCTCATAACTTGAAGACCACATGTTAATTGAATGCATTTCACAATGTTTTTTGCAGCAATTTGAGCGGCAACCAGCTTGCAGGGTCAGTTCCCAAGGCTCTTGAGGAAAATTCAGATTTGGAAATGAGGTTTCTCATCTTAATTTGCTCTCCTATATATGGCTGTCTTGTTTTTTTATCTTGAGTTAAAATAAAATCAGTTTACAATTATTACTTTAATGTGATGAGAGTAATGTATATTTTACATTGGCCCTTGCTTTTATTGAGGCCATCATTGGAAATTTTTTTGTAATTAATGGATAAAACTCAATGAAGTTATCGAGTCAAATTTAATTTTGTCGTTCTAATTATACCCATACTTGACTTATCTCTCAGTTTGGATGATAATCCTAGCCTTTGTTTGAGGGATCCATGCAAAAAACACAAGTTCCTTGTGCCACTTATAGCATCTGTTTCAGCTTTGACGGTTGTCATCTTGGTTTCTCTGGGAATTTGGATCTTCAAAATGAAAAACCTCAAAGGTAAGCACAGAATACTACATTAGTTTGCATTATTATATGTGCGCTAATACAACTTGTTTCTTATACATAGAAATATACTATCTCGGTCCTTTCTTTTTTATAAGTATTATCTCCGGTACTTAATATAAGACCCAAAATATTTATGTTTATTGTATTTTTCTAAACTAATTTATTTGACTTATGAACTGATATGTAATCTAGTGATATACATAAGTATTTCAAAGAGATCAGTAATATATGTTATAATTAAGTTATTTGTTTAGCTTTCATAATCTTTCCATATTAGTTAACTGGTTTTATATTAATTAACGGAGGTATTATTTATATATAACACTCTGAACTAACAACCCTGATTGTTTTAATTAATATTTGCAGTTTCTAGAAAGAAAGAAGCATCAGAACTAAGAAATCGCGCTTTTTCTTACTCCTATGTCCTTGAGATCACTGATAACTTACAAAACTTGATTGGACAAGGGGGATTTGGAAAAGTCTATTTAGGCACCCTTAAGAATTGCACTCAAGTTGCAGCGAAGTTACTTTCTCATTCATCAGTTCAAGGTCATAGAGAATTCCAATCAGAGGTGAAATATCCAAATCTATCTATTAGTCTTATTTCATTGCCTTATTTTGCCGCATATTTAATTATAAACATAATTTGTTCTACATTAGTTCCTATTTATCATATAACTGATAAAGTAAAATTTGAATTGCAGGTAGAACTTTTGATGGTTACTCATCATAGACACTAGTTTCTTTGATTGGATATTGCGAAGAAAGAAAGTGGCGTCAAAGCATTGATATACGAATATATGGCTAATGGGAACCTCCACCATCATTTATCAAGTATACAATTGTGCTTCCTAAGGCTTGATTTTTTGCGTGTCAATATTTAGCATATCATAGCAATCTAACCAACATGTCAGTATTAAAATATCTATAATAAAATTTATTACAAGGGTAGTAAATGTAATTTATTTATTAAATTTCGAGGATTGCACAAGATGATGCATTTATTAATATATTATAATAAAATATGATAACTTGGTACTTTTTAATATGTTAACATATATTTACTCATTCTTAATGAAATAAGAGTCCATAAATGCATTGGACAACTTTTAAAGGTACAGGTAAAAGAAATCTAATCATACTGATTCTACAGGTAAGAAAGGATGTCAATTGAAATGGAAAGATAGGCTTCAAATTGCATTGGATGCAGCGTATGGTAAGAAACAAATCATATATGATATTCTAGTTAATTGTATATAAAAATAAATAAATTACATTTAGTAACAATTTCTTTTTCAGATGACTTAAAACAATGATTAAAAATGATGTCATTCTTTACGAATTGAGATTATTAATATCAAAACTGGAATTTGGGTTCATTCTTTCTCTAATAATTACCTTGGTGATACATATAACGAATCGAGCTGCAGGATTGGATTATTTGCATAATGGTTGTAAACCTCCAATTTTACATAGAGACCTTAAGGCCTCCAACATTTTGCCGGACAAGAATATGGAGGCTAAAATTGCTGACTTTGGATTATCTAGGGCTTTTGCAAATGACATTGATAGCCACGTCTCAACTCGTCCTGCAGAAACACTTGGTTACCTTGATCCTCAGTGAGTATTCTTAATTATAGAATACATATTTTCTCATCAACACATTGGCATATTATAATCCTTATAATTGACTCCATCTAGTTGCAATATTGTTTTGTTTATTTCTCGTCAATTAAGAAAACTCATAAAATTAGTTTAAGATTGCAGATAAGAAAATCAACCCATTACAAGGAGAATTGTAAATGAACACTAATTTAAATCGGAGTACAATTAATTAATCACATTTTAATAGATCAAATTTCTGTTTTTGTACAATGTGAATTATATATAGACGATGATTACAAATTGAAGTTTTATTTAGAAATTAAAGAACTCTAAAAGGGAAGAAAATTCTCACTGAAATTCGTTTTGAATTTTCAAACTCAATTTGAATGTATATGATTGAATACAAAAATATTAAATGGAGAGATCTATCTAACAATTGTTTTTTTTAAAAAAAATTTTCCTTGTCAATAACAGATTTCAAAATTCTGGAAACCTTACAAAAGGAAGTGATGTCTATAGTTTTGGAATAATTCTGCTGGAACTGGTGACTGGAAAACCAGCAGCAAAAAGACAACCAAACAATACCTTCATTCTTCTGCTTGAATGGGTCACCCCTAAACTTGGAAGCCAGGATATCCAGTCCATTGTTGATCCAAGATTACAGGGAAAATACAGTATTGAATCTGCTTGGAAATCTCTTGAGATAGCCAAGTCATGTACCGCGCCACTCGCAGTTCAGAGGCCTGATATAAGCCAGGTAGTAGTTGATCTAAGGGAATGTTTGGCAATGGAGATAAGAATGGAAGGGACCAATCAAAGCACCAATTCAAGCAATTCCTTGGATATGAGTTCTAATGTGCAATTAGATTCAAATTTTAGTGCTCTGTCTGCTAGATAGATAGATACTTGTTTACATTTCGAATTTAATTAATCGCTCTGAAATGCGAACAGTTACTATTTCTAATATGTTAAACGTTACTTGTGTTGTTTGTTGTGAAATGTTTTGTCTCGATTGAAATCTTATTCTTCTATTTGTATTAGTCTAATCCTTTACTTAAAATTGTTTTTCTGCAAAACTCATTAGACATTGACTCTATCTTACGTTTTCCTTTACCTTCGTTCCTAGAAATATCGGAGAATACAAAGTTTGAGTTTATTCGTTGTTATTCACTTACTGTTGTTTCTCTAAGGTGAAACTTTGGTTTACTCTAATGAGCTATCTGCTTACTAGTGTTTAAACAATATTCAAGAGCATAGATGCATGTTATGCTTATCTAAGAGTATCTTTTAGGGAAAAAGATAGAAAAATGCCACTTGAACTTCATAATCTCCAAACGGTCTGCTGAATTTGAGAAATTTCAATAGGCCAAATTGGGATTATCATGTTAAAGAAAAGACCAAATTGCCCTTTATTTTAAATATTGTTTTTAAAATAGCATAGCCCCACTGGCCAG